AACCACCCAGTCGACCTTTTACAATATGTGGCAAACAATTGCGATATCATGGGGCTTGCAAATTCCAACTGGAAAATCAATCCCGGGAAGCACGTAACTAAACGAATGAATCGTGGAAAATTGTGTTGGAATCTGATGGTGGATTTTCAGAAAAAATCGGAAGCATGACGTTGCTGGACGTTTGCCATTGCCAGTTTGCACCAGAAGAATCGCTGCAAAAAACCAAAACAACAACAACAATAGAATCGGTGCCGTGGTTTTGCAGGAAGGTCGTTGATGTTGATTATGTTGAATGTGGGGTCTTACAACAAATGGGTGTGTCCAATGTTGGGCACCACAGGGCATGAACAGGACGAGCGACCTTGTATAAAACGAGAAAGGGACAAATGGCAAAATATACACCGGGGCAACACATGGCCAGCGACTGTATGAATCTGTGCGGATTGTGATCCCAAGGAAGTCGCCCCGCCGAAGCCCCACAGACGTTGACATGGATTTGACAAGTACACCGACTCACTCACAGGCGCCAGCAAGAGCTTCATCTTCGATTCATATCGTTAGCTTTCATGCGTGTTGCTTCGGCAGGCGCTCTTGGGGAGAGGGGGGCATTCACGTTCCCCATCTCCGCGGCCAACTTCGCAATCCGATTTTGGTGTTTCAGATCCGTCTGCATCGCGGAGCCTCAATGCAGCTGGGCTTTGGACAGGTTTCACAGCATGGAGAAAACACGAGAAACTTGACCGGATGTGCAAGGTATATGGCGGCAGCTCTGGTGCACTTGGCTTGATTATGCGATGGAATGCGATGGATATGTCTTGGTTTCGAGGCTAGCTGTTATTATGACACGTGGTGGGATGTGGTGGGCTTGATTTGGTTGTTCTTCCCTGACGGCTGCCCAAAACAAGTCCTTGGGACATGCAACATTGAACCGCAGGTGCACGTTTAGGTGAAAGCCAGGCTAAAAACAACACATTTCGAGGAATTTCCATCAATTCTATATTTTCTTGGGCGTGAGGTATCGTGAACCTAATGCCATGCGAATGCATACTGAGATGCTGAGGTGCCCCACGATCTCCAATGCATTCGGAGGCGTTGCGATCTGCACGCCAGCGTCTTAAGCCATGACTGCTACACGAAGTTGTGGGACTGCATGGGATTGCAAGAATGTTCTCGCTGGGCTCAGACTTACTCATGCGCAGAGTCGCAACCCTCCAAAATTCTCACTTCCCGAGAAAAGTAATGAATAGGAAGGAAGAACGACATGTACAAGTATCAAAACACACGTCATGTAGCGCTACTTATATTGCCATCATGATTCATGGTACTTTTGCTGTCTTAATAAATTTGGATGCCTCTTACGGTTGCCCTTGCTACCATGATTTTGGTTGTCATGGTTGTTTTTATGCTCACCATCACAGTTGCTATTATATCAATTGACACTGCAACGGTTATTGCATTTCCATGCCCAAAATCTAGTCCGAAACCTTGAGCCTGCAGCACCAAGCCCCAAGCCCTTACAGAAGGTCCCGAGTGCGCAGTTCTGTGGTTTTGGCACGTTTTGGCGTCGAAGTTTAAGACAGCCCTCGCTCAGAGAGGTATAGAAGAGAGTACTCGTAACACACATTCGGAAGAAAAGGGTCCCGATTGCATCCTCCGACATTGTTTAAGATTGTGAAGTTGATGCCGCCATAAAATCCGTCCATTCACCTCCTTCTTTCCGTGCTTCTTTCCACCTTTCCTTTCTCAGTTGATCAATTTCCTCATGACTTCGGAATTCTCCTAGTTCATTATTACGGGTTCCTTTTACAATGGTCTTGCCCCTTTCATAATGTAGTTTTCAGCGAATTTATGTGTTTTTGGTCTTTGGGGAGGGGTCTTCATTATTTGAACGGGTTAATTCCGGTGGCAACCCTTCAGGCAATTGACAGTTCCCAAATTTTTTGTGCAACACCTGTTCAAAGTTTCACACGGCTTTTCTTTTCTTTTTCCAACAAACCAGGCCAACACAGTTCCCCGCGTCACTCTGTGGGTCTGGCGACGCATCTTGGCTAAACCCAAGAGGTGTAATTTTTTTGCAGGGCACAAGTGCGTTCTGGATGTTCGGTTAGACCAGTGTGCATCGCTGACAGATAACGACGCATGACATGCCAAGGCATGGGGAGCTTTTCTTGCCTGAAACTTAAGGCCTATGGTTGCCCAAGCTGCACCCGAAGCTTCGCCAAGATTGTCTTCCAACATGTCCCCTCGCCATTCGCGAGTCGCTTGGTGTGATAATTTTTCACCAAAAGGTGGGTCCAGAACAGTCACTTCATCCAAAAAATCGTGCGAGTTCATGCGTTGAGGCAGGAGGCCTGTGTAAGCAGCACTTGTTACCACTCACCACGCCGTACATTGTTGAGGCGACGCTGGACGCAGGCCTATCCTTGCGCTCGGAATGTATCACGGCATCGCCAAGGCACGAGCGAAATGAGTGATCATGAAAGGTTCCACAATCAAGTTTCCTGTTGCAGGCATTCGAGCTCTCTTTCACCCAGTTTCTGGGACTACCAACGATTGTTGTTGTCTGTCACGTGCTTTGCTCACATCGATTTTGTAACCAAGGACACAGTGCTCAGTTTCGATCGTCTCCAACGACGCCTGTGACACCCGAGCGGATGGTTGCAGATTCAGCCGCCCACCATCAAAGCAGCCTGCACCCTGCAAAGCCAAAATGTGATCGTGCCAGAACAGTAGCGTGCAGGACGTTCTGACATGGCAAGCACCTGTGCAAGAGCAATGTGCAACATGTTCGAGAGCCGAGGATCTAGCTGCCTCATCTTCCATGCAATCCACCAGAGACTGGTCGTACACATGTATGATATGATATGATATTATATTATATCATATTATATCATATTATATTATATTATGTTATATTACATTGTATTGTATTATATTACGTTATGTTTTATTATGTTATATTTCGATATACTATATTATATTATCGTATATTATATTATATTATATTGTATTATATTATATTATATTGTATTGTATTACAGTATATTATATTGTATTACATTATGTTATTTTACATTACATTATGCTATATTGAATACTATATTATATTATACACATGTTATATTATATGCATGTGTGTTTAGGTGCGCCGCTTCTATGTAAAATCTCCTCACACGCGCACATAGCTTCAGTCGATGTTCGGGAGACTCAGGCAAAAGAATTGTTGGTTGCATGGCTGCGGCTAAGGACCAACCTACCCATCTCCAGGCCAGAGCTCGCCCATGCACTCGCAGGCTGGAGCAGAACTGATCTTCCGGGCTGCCAGGGCTTCAGGGAATGTGTATCGGCATGCGTAGAGACCGCTCTTAAAATCTAGGTTTCTTGTGCTTCTGCTAGTTTGACATGTGCTTCCATTCTGCGACCTTTGCATTGGCTCGGTGTCGCTTTCTGCGGCTTGGAGGTCATTTGTCAAGTTGGTGCTTGCTGCCAGGTTTTGCTGGACATTCCAGCACGCCACAGTTGCCTGGCTGTCGCACTTGGATACAGAAAATTTCGTGCCATGGGCGACGTAATCAAGGCGGAACTCTGGACGACAGGCTTTACCTGTAGCTTGCAATCTGAGTTTCAGAACTTTTATCTCGAGTTATGCCCATCAGTCTCGAAATTTGTTTGGGGAGTTGTACTGGAGACTGGAAGTAGCCTCCAGGTTTGTATAGGACTTCGCGCAGTACGTCACTAGTTGGCCAAGGCTCCTCTCCCCGGCGTTCTCCCGTGGCCTTGGACGTGGAACTTGGCTCCCCCTCCGCGCCGAACTCTGTACGGCACAGTCGTGTGTGGGGAGCCCGGGTTTGATGCCATTTTTCCCAGAGATCGCAGTTGGCGAACGTGCGCTTAGAAAGTCATGGTGTGTGTGGGAGCTAAACAAGTTCCGTTTTGGCAGTCTTCTGGATTGAAACCAGACCTAGGCAGCCTAAGCACAAAGCTGCCAGCATGAATGGCTACGAAAGACTTTACGCAGACGTCAGAGCAACATCGATGCTGATTTCTGAAGTTGGTGACATTATACCCATAGTAAATTGTGCTAGGCTTGGCATTGGCTCTGCCTGGATTACTCGTATTACACGTGGGCTCAGAATTCAGCCACGAATCTAAGCCAGGAGGCCTCACCCCAAAACAGAAAGGGACCCGGCCCCTGCCCAAGGCGAATTCCGGAGTTGCCTCATCGAGGTTCAGTGCATGTGGCCGCTAAATGCAGTAACAATTGCCTACGAACACTTGGCACGATGACTGGAGCGATTAGTGTTTGCAGTGCAAGGTCGGCATGCTTGACATCTTTGCTTTGGAAGTACAATCTGAATTGACGTGATTATTGCTTTTGCAAGCTGACCCCGCGCAGACTGCTGACAACATGCATTCCTCCATTGTATGTGGGAAATATTATGGCTTGATGGTGGGAGTTGGCATGGGCACGGCGAGGATCGGGTGGATTCAAGACTTTTTTAGAAGCCCTTTGGTTCAGCGGCTTGTTCGTGATGACCCATTGATTTGTTCACGTTTTTGGGTTGGCAGCGCGGCTGGCTTGGTTGTGGCTTGGCTTTGCTTCCAGGGAAGATGAACCAGAACCTGACCAAAGTGCATTTTTCGAAAGAATCCAGAAGAAGCAGGCCCCAGTACCTTCGCCATGGTGCCAGGTGAGGACTCTCCAGGACATCGCCTGAGTGTGTGCATGAGCGAGGAGTTTCGGCCTTTGGCGCAGGCCTGCGGACATCTGCGGACCTGCTCTGCTAAAGACCCCTTGTGTTGGTGGATGATTGTCAGTTTGCGCTTGCCACACGATGCCCGCTGAACCCTCGCTACAGCCACAGCGGATGAGAGCCTGTTCCTGGAATTTTCCACTTGAGCTTGAAGTGTTGTGAGATTTCAAAAGCACCAAATTGCCAAAGCCATGACCCGAACATGTGCAGGCGACGTTTGGTGAGGGAAGCAGCTCCAGGCCGGGCTTTTGACAGGTACACTGTAGGAACTTTGGAGAAAAGCTGTTCTCCCGGCAGAAAGAGGCGGAATTAGGAGTGGTATACTTGTGCTCTCAACGCGCTTGACCTGAAGCATAGGCTTCCCTTCCGGCATAATGGATGAAGACGTGGAGCCTTTATGATTTCTCGTGACATGCCTCAAAGACCGACAGTTTCGGAAGCAAGCCTCTCAGAGGACGCGGCAAGTGAGGCATGTGTGAGACATGCTTCCCAAACTTCGTTCGCGACAATCACCATATATCAGAGCTGAAGCAATCCGCATATGGCTTTGATCTCAGAGGAGGGGGGGTTGTTTTTTTAGTTGGGTCTGTGCTCCACTTCGGCCTGCAAGTATTGCCCCTATTGAAACAGGTATGGCGATCTACTTTCCACTTATGCTTCTGGCTTCCACTGAGACTTTGCATGCCAGCCTCCATGCATTCTCATCGTAATTCGTGCCACAGTCTCATCAAGGGCCAGGTGTCTTGAAACATGCTGATGCATTTACCCAAGATAGAGGCAGTTGATTATGGGCTATTTTTTGGAAAGCTTGTGTAATGTGCAAGTCTAGCTGTGTATTTGACAGAGGTTAAGGACTTCGCTTTGCATAGACATGGTTTGTATCCTTCCTTTGTATCCCCCAAAATCTATCCGCTTCGGCAAGGCCACTTTCATGTACTTTGGGAGGGCTACACTCGACCTAGCTTACCAGGCCTGTCTTGCTTGGAGGCCAGCAGTTGGAGACGGCCTGGACCAGTTCCGGCCCCTGTCACCACAAGCAAGCCCCTCGCGCTATGACGAGCTGGAGAAGTTCAGGCGACATTCTTTTCAACCTACTGCCAAAGTATTGGTTACAAGGTACCTCACTGCCTACACAGAGTCCACGAAATACCTGCAGAATGAATTTCCATGATGATTGACATCTCGCATTTAGCACGGAGAGTGGTCATGTGCACCAGATGGTTCGGACTCAAGTCTGGTGGAGCTTTGGAACGAGTTATAGTGGGAACTTTGCAGAAGATGATGTGGGTTTTGCACTATGAACCTGGCCCCTAAACTTGGACACTGTGTTTTTACCGGGGTTCTAGCATGCGAGATTTCAAAGTGCAAGATTTTGCTTTGGCAAGGCCACTGTCACCGATGTCAAAGGCAGGTCAGCCGCCTGTGGACGTCTGGCGCTTAGGCAAGAGCAGTGCTTTACCTCGATGCGGTGAAGGGACGCCTCACATCTCATACCAGACCTACCTATTTGTCTGAAGTCGCTGTTTTAGAAGGGTCTGAAGGAACATAGGGACTCTTAGAGGGAAGCGCTCTTTTTTGCACGGAGTTTTTGTTAACTTTGCTTAGTCCGCAGGGAGGACGCTAGATGAAGCTAGCCAATACGCGTGGGGCGTCAGTCTTGTGACCTGCCATCGTGCCATGCGGTTTGAATACGGAAGGCTTGTGTCAAGGAGGGGTGAAGACAGACGCGCTCAAGACATACAGTATGCCGAGTTCGATGCATGCCTTCTGGACCGACATGGGATATTCGAAGGTCCTCCCTTTGTCCAATGTGCTGCCGGTAAGCACAAGTGATCTGTGAGAGATCAGGTTCCTGCATGATGATCCTCATGGAATGTTGTCCACACGTTCTCGTAGCTGGCAGTGTTTCGATGTGCTTCGTGGCTGAGGAACTGGACAAGTTTCGGCCACTGTCTCCTGAGTCCTCCATCCGGTCCACAGTTGATCCAGCAGAGAGGCCTGCGGGGTGCTGCAGGGTCTCTGGCAGGCTTCCCAAGAAGAAGGGGGACTCTGGTTTTTCCGGTTGCAAAACCAGCTGAAACTTGAGGCTCTACAAGGGCTGCGTTCAATAGCCATTAAATGGGAGTGTGTTATGCCAATCAAGCCGTGCAAGCGATGTATTCCACAGGCCTTGGTTTGAGATTATGCTGAAGGATTACAATGTCTCCTGCTGCGTGTAGCGTCCCCGTCTCCTCTACATATCTTCAGATGGCTGCACAGGTGGGCAGCAATAAGGGAAATATGGGATCACAGAATCTTTGCACGGTTCCTTGCTTCGTGCCTTAGGTGCCATTGCCCCAGGCAGCTAGCAAGAAGGGCCCTTTTTTGTGGCAGGACTTTGTCGCCAGACTCCGAAAGCGAGTTGAAGCGGCTGCGGTTTGGGCTCGACGACGAGCCGAGGCAGGCAAACAGGTTTTGAAGCTTGTGTGGCAGGATCAGTTGAAAGGCTTAGAAGTTGAGTGAGTTCGGCGTTCTTGCTTGCAGATTTCAGTAGGCCTTGGGTGTTATTATGATAAACGTACGACCATGACCGTCACATGTGCAGTGAGAGGAAGCCTCCCAAACTTGTGCAGGAGAGCGCGAGGCTCTCCATCCACGCAGGACTTGTTGCAAAGCCTTGACCAAATTGAGCATGAAGCTTGCTTCCGAAGCCAAGCAAGCACTACTACATCATGCTCATCGTCCCGGAGTTCTTCTTATGGATCCTGCCTTCCTGAAAGAGCGCCACTCAGCCCTTTTGTTTCTTCCTGTGTTCCTTCAAGCTTAAGATCCTGTCTGGCCGGACTCTAAGATTCAACGCCTGATCCCATTTGCTAGCATCGTAAGCTGGAAGCGACTCCGTGGAGAGGACCAAGACGACGGTGAGCGGCGCAAGTCCAAGGCCAGGGCCGCTTGTTTTTGTACATTATTGGGTGTCCCAACCTTTTTACAGCCCATGTTTGCAGACATTCAGCGGCCCTGATTTGCCTCATGAATTTGCATTATGGCCGCGTTGTACTTCGTTGCAGCCAAGTGTAGCCCCTGTTCTTGCTTTTGTCACTTGGTACACGTGCCTGGAACAAGCAGTTGCTGGGGTGGCCTCGGGTCCAACATGCATTTTACTCATTCGGCTTGATGAGGACTCAACCCGTTCGGCCTTTGATGAGGAGACGGAGAGGCTGCAATGCATCTTTTGGGTGTTGTGGTTGCCCACCTCGTGCTGGGATTTCCGATTTCAGTTGCTACGTTCGGTGATGCGTGACTTAAACTTGCAGCAGTAGGCGATGTCAACCTCCCAGTCCATGTCTTCTGTGTATGTAGGTCCCCAGGACCTGGCACTGTGCTTCAGCCAAGCATTCGGACCTCGGTCTCAGTGCCAGGCAAGAGGCCATCACGCGGCGGCTGACAATGTGGCACGTCTGCAGGAGAAGCTGTGATGACCTAACCTTAATTCCTGGGAGGATCCAGGTGGCCTTGGACTGTCGCGGGAAAGATGGTAAGATCATGCAAGATCCACTTTTGCAGTTGTGTCAACGAATTATGCTTAATGTGGGGTCCTGATAAGTGTAGCCCCCCCCAATCCCCACCCAAAAAAACACACACACACACGTGCACGCACAAACCTGGGAGCCTGATTAGTGTTGGGGGGGGGCAGCCCCAAACAATCCATAGCCTGTAGTTTTGAAAAATAACTCAATAGGAGGGATCAGCCAAATCTGGATCCTAGGTTTTAATTAAAATGCATTATGAGGGATCAACTTATTCTCAGAATTGTTGAATTGTTTTATTTTGGCCGCGCAACGTCGGCGCAATTAAGCCTCCCGAAACAAATCAGGGGGTCTGAATATTTTCGGCGAAGCTTCGCACAATTAACGCTCCCCACACTAATCGGGATCCAACATTATACTTTTACCATTGCTGAGTCATCACTTTGCCACTGTCACGAACCTCCCACATGTTACTTCCTCTCTCTAGAAGCCGACTTAGGAACCAGTTGTCTTTGGAAGTCCTGCAGTACCCTTGCGCGTCTACGCAGGTTTCTTTGCCTTCACGGGTCATTCCAAGCGTCAGGTAGATAGGTCAGACAGAAACTTACACATTTTTGTTGGCTAAAAAGGTCTGCCACCGAAAAAAAGAAAATCAACAAGAGAAAAGAAACATACACTGATACGCAACCGACGCTTTTGTACCTTGATTTGAAAGCATGCGCACAACGCAGACATTCTGCATGCACAAGCGCAAGGAATCACACAGACATGCATCTCCGTACCCACATATGTGAATGTATAGGGACACAGGTAGATATTTGAGACCTGGGCAGCTTCAACTGAGCCAGTGCGCCACATAGGCAGCTGCAGCAGAAGCGGCTCCGTAGCCAGCCCTCCTCGCGCAGCTCCTCTGTTGTGGGTTCTCCGCAACTGCACCCAAATTGCAGTTCAGTTTGTGTTTTCTTTTCGAGGGCTCGGTTTCTTGTGTTTTGCCTGGGGGGGAGGGCTAGTGATTTCGGGTTGCAAGATGACTCTTGCCGGAAACGGCCCGTTCGTCAATGGTCCGCTTGTTCAGCTGGGCTGCAAGGTTTTACTCAATGAATTCTGCTTCAGAGCTGAGGCCCTTCCGAGACATACGCTCTGAGTATGGTTGGCAGCAGCAGTCCATGAACCGAAGCCTGTCGCAGCCGAACTTCGCACCTCAGCGCCTGCAGCAGTCCCCTCAGGGGAGCTACTTGGCAACACCGCAGCATGCGCTGCAGTCTGGGCAGGGCTCCCTACAGGGTTCCGTGCAGGGCTCACTGCAGGGCTCCATGCACTCTCCAATGCAGGCACTTTCACCAATGCAGGCGCAGAGATCCCAGGTTCAACCATTGCAGTCGCCACCCAAGACCCCTCCCCAGATGCAAGAGCGACCTGGGTATGCTGAGCTGCCCCCGCAGCCGCTGCAGACGCAGCAACAGCTGCCCCAGCAGTCGGGACAGCAGGCACAACAAGAGCAGGCGCAGCAGATGCAGCTTCAGCTGCAGCAACAGATGCAGCAAATGCAGCAGCAAATGCAACAGATGCAGATGGAACAGGAGGCGCAGCAACAGAAGGCGCAGCAGGCGCAGCAGCAAATGTTGCAGCAGCACGTTCAGCAACAGCGTCACTTGACCGAAATATGTGTCAGTTTTGGAGTGGAGCTCGTGAGAGCATGCAGGAGATTCTTGAATTTGCATTGGCTGAGCGAATCATGATTAATCCCCTCCATAAAAGTGATACATATTTACACAACACCCAAGACATTATGGTGTACCACAACGGGAACATTTGATACTACGGGGTTGGGGGGTTTTACTTTCTTGTTGATATTCGGGGGAAGTGATTGGGCGCAACAAGCACAAATCGCCAGCTGATTTAGTTCGGGCTGTTCACTCCAATCTTCTGAGCTTCGCTGCTTGCCCTTTTTCGGTCATGCGCGTTACATGACGGAGTTTGATTGGGGGTGGCTTTGGCTCTCTTCCCAATCAGCATCTAGTCTACATCTTTTGCACAGTGCATATCGCAATTCATGTTCAATGTCCAGCGGTTCCGATGCTCAAGCCGCAGCCTCGAGAAGTTTTCGAAGTTTATGGACGAATGTATGGAATTTTCCTTTGCTGTGCACGATCAAAGGTGAGGCCCGGCCGCCTCCCAACCGCCCGGTGTCCTTGGACTCCTATGCCTTCGGGTGGCTCGGTTGTCTTCCATGCGTGGGGTTTGTTCAGGGGATTCCAGGGGTGTGTTTGCGACGTTTGCTCCTGACGTCTTAGCGATGGTGGGCCACTCCATGTGGGTCCCTTCGCACAACGAGCATGTGGACTCGACTTTGGATAGATTTCCCAGAGTTTAGGGGCAGAAGTGATCCGTGGCAAAGGGTTGGAAGGTTTTGGTCACCAGTTGAGCTTAGGTCGATGTGTGTTTCCATTTCTCCAGAGTGTATTTGTTGTGCTAGTTCCGTGGAGGTCATTTGCTTGTTTAGAGTGTGGACTGACACATCGCCCGATGAGGTGAGGGACGTGTCTGTGCATTTCTGAAGAAAGTGCCGTGCTTGACGCACGCCTCCTGTGGCTGTCCTTGTGCGAAAACTACATAGAATCTCGACCTGAGACAACAAGTGCTGTGTGCTAAGAGCCTTGGCTCAGGACAGCTTCTTTGACGCGGGCTGGGGCTAGCGAGGACGCTGCGGGTCGACTTGCAATGAGAATACTTCGCGTTTGGAACCAGTTGTAGCAGAAGGATGACTTCAGTAGCTAGCCGCTAGCCAAGCTGCTATCAAGCCCACGGAAAATAATTGTTCTATCCAGGCGCTGCTGGCACCTCTACAGATTGTACTTGTATTTCGAGGTACAGTACTTCTTCGGGCTTTACTAGCCACCAGGGTTGCTCTAAACTCGCTGCAGGTTTGTGACGTTGTAATGTTGAAGTTGGAAGTGTTAATACTGTCACTCCCATGCACTTGCGAGCGCTAGCCCGAGCTCGACACTGCAGGCTCCGCACCATGCTGCGAGGCCTGAAGTGTCAAGTTTGGAAGCCTTCCTACATCATGTGCCTGCTAGGAGACGCCACCTGCAGTCGAAGTGCCACCGCCAACACAGAAGCGGCTCATATCAAAAAAAGACCCTGCAATGCAGCCGTGCGAGTTGCGGGGTAAGGGTGGAGACTCAGAGCTCATGTCTGCTAAACCTTTCAGGGCATGAAGGAATTGGATTTCTTGGCTTTGCATGTGCTGCGCCCACATTCGATTTGGGCCGCACTTTTTTTTTTGCAAACCCGCTAGGAGTGCATGTAAACATGTCAGAGTTTTGATGCCCAGGTCTCTTGGACGCCCACAGGGAACACCGACTGCGCACGGCACACCTTCAAGCATCTTGTCTTGGCATGCATGGCAGTCCTTGGGCTTAGGCTTTTGATTTGGCAGGTCAGCAACGATCAATCAAAGCGTATGAAGGAAGCGCAGAATCTGCATGAGCATGCTGTCTGTCAGAATGCTCAGGTGACTGGGACGGAGCCCAGACAGAGAGACCAATGTGGCAGCAGTCTCCATCAGCTCCTCATGGTCTACAAGTTCTGCCAGCTCCTGTGACACAGAGTTTGACCCCGCCCAGCATGCAAGGCCTGTCACAGCAGGCTGTGCATAAGCCGACTCCAGCAGTCATGGTGCCGGAATTTCCTCCAGCCTCTTCTCCGCCTTGGCAGCCGGTCGAGCCCGAGATCACGCTGCGACCGTCTTCGCAGAGCTTCTCTGAGCCATCAGAGTACCCCCACCCTCATCAGGTGCCTTTACCCAGTCAGGTCCTTCCCCATGCGACAACGCTGGCACCGCCAACTCCGCCGCAATTATTGGAGGCCCATCGCTTCATGCAGGCACGCTGTGGGTCACAATAGAATCAGGCAGGCTGCCTAGCCATGAAGTGTATGAATCAAACGTCAGGTTCACACGCAGACCACACCGCAGGCCAGCCGCCGGTCCTCCTCTGAGCCCAGGCAGGCTGTCCCAAGCCTACGAACGCTGAAAGGATGCTGAAGTTCTGCAATTGTGCATGAAGACTACTGACGCAAACCCAACAGCGACCTGCGAAACTGTCGGCAAATCCTGTATTCTCTCAACTACTGCAAGCGATTGCAAGCGTATGTCCTGATTCGACACAGGCTGCAGCGGAGCGCAGGCACCATGACCTCGGGTCTCGCACCCAGGAGGGCATGGGGTGGACGGGGAGAAGTGTCGCCAAACAGGTCCCGAAGTGATGATGAGAACTCAACAATGCCACTCACGGGAAGATCTCGGGAGTAAGCCTTCACACCTTCACCTGGCGTACAGCTTTGCTCGGTTTGCTAGGCTGGAAGGTTTGTGGGGTTGAGGGCTTACCGTAGGGACTTGTTTTTACAAACATGCTCACTTGATTTTTTTGTTCACTTCGGCCAAACTTTTTCCGTGGGTTAAGCAATCCACTCGGCTGCTTGGTGTGGGCTGGGGGAAGCCAACACGCAGGCGTTCCACAACTCCCGGTGTTAGTGGTGACCTCTTTGTAGTAGAGCTCGGCTCATGAAGGGTCCAATGGAGGGCAGAGCTTCCAGCTTCAACTCACTTCATCGAAAATCACTTTGCAAGGGAGCCGAGAAAGCCACTGCAAAGCCGAACTTACAACTTTGAAGCTTTCGTACAAGATTTTGCCCGTCCATGACTCATCATTCCGAGGTTCCAGTGCTTCGAGCCCCTCGAAAGAGAGGCTGCGGGCTCTGGAGCTGGCTCCTCAAAGGGGCGAAGTCTTGATCAACAGAAGACAGCATTTGAGGAATGTTGAGGGTCATCGGGTCATCTCATATCATAGGAGGGTCCTATATGTCCCGCAGTCCACCCCAGGGGGCGGGGTACGTCTGCAGATGCTAGTTGGCTTGGAAGGTTTCGCTGACAAAAAGGAACGTTTTGCTGCGCGGCATCAGTACGGCTTGCACTAATTTTCGCTTGTTTTCTGTGAGAGCAGTGTTCAGCAACCTTTCTGGGTTGAGCTGAAACGCAACTCACTGTCACTGCCCTGGGGCAGAAGCATCCTTGACAACATGTGCGTGGTCTACATGGCCCAGGTTGTTTTATAGCCTCTGTCTCGAAGTGATCTGCTGCCTGCTATCTGGACGTAATCAAGATCATTCAGAACCTTCAGGGTGTTTTCAGAGAATCTTTTTCGGGTAGGTGCATGGGATCCCAAGTCTGGCCCACATGCCTGCGCCACGTGACTGCTGAAATCTGATCAGCTTTTAGGTCGGAGGTGGCTTCGCAGTCCAAGCGGATCCGTGTCCTTGAGGCTGGGGATGTTGACTGATCCAGATTAACTAAGTTGTTACAAAAGGCATCCGACGAAACTGGCCGTGGTTTGAGCGAGTGTCTTCTTCGGAATGGTTTTTGCATGTTCGTGTTTGCCAAGGCCTCTGTGAAAGAAAAGGTTTGGAATCTAAAGCATTCCAAAGCCATGAATCATCTTGAGCTTCAATTGGCCAAAATTCCGAAGATATATAAAAGATCTGCATTTTCTGCTAAGCCTTATGTGCACATTACAGATCGGCAAGGAAGAGATGCGAAGCCCCATAGGCATGAGCATGGCCAAGTCAGGTATTGCACCTGCCCGATACTGCTTTGACCAAACATCAGGCCTCTCCTGTGCTCTTTTGCCCAGCATGCCCTGCCAGGGTGAGCTGAAAACTGCGGAAAGTCGTGCCTCGCGGTTTCAGGCCTCAGGCACCAGAGCTTGAGCCGGTTTGGGAGATTTGGGAGGTTTGAGGGTCGCATGAAGTTTGAAGTGTAGTGCTGGGGGCTCAGAGTTGTGTGCTTCTGAGTCGCAGCCTTATTGGCAGCTTTGCACGAACTAGGGATGGCGCACGAAAGGATTCCTCCAGCAGAAGTTCGGATAGTTCAGGTTTCTTTGGAGCCTGCATTTTCTTGGGAACCAGAAGCTGTCGGAGGAGCCGCTGCCCAGAAAGAGATCGAACTGACGCTCTCGCAGCTCAAGGCTTCACGAGCAGCCGCGCGGCCATCGACTGGCGGGGTCCGTGCGGCTGGATAGGGCACGCGTCGTATGCTGTCGGTTGTTAAGGAGAATGGGCGCTGATGTGAGGAGGTGTCAGGTATTACGTGGTAACATCAGGCTGCTGCTGGGACTTTTGACGGGCTCGCATGCACTGCAGGTCTTCTGGAGATCCTAGGTCCTAGGATCTTGAACACAGGGTTCGATGAGCAGGCATGAACATCAGGATCCCCACTAATTTTCATCAATTTCCAAACCCTTCACTATGAATGTTGCGGACCATGTTGAGGACAACCACGTATAGGGATAGTCGTCTCAGTTGCTCGAACGGATGGAGGGGTCTTGCATGTTGCTGAAGAAGGGAAGGCACACAGCACATCGTAAGAGCATCTGACCCAGCAAGACCTCTGCTCTGAAACCTGCCATGTCACATGGCATTTTGATGCGTGCTGGTCACGGTCTGCCTGCAGCAGGGTCAGTAGGACAACTGACAAAGCCCCCCGCCTCAGAGGGATCTAAGTGTCGTTGTCGCCCAGGAAGTTCTATCCAAGAGCACTCGAGTCAAGCAGCTTGAAAGCAAGTTGATGGCGCTGGAAAACAAGGTGTCCGAGTCCCGGAAGGCCCAGGAACAAGGGTTGTTGGGTGTTGCTTATGTCTGGCCCCAAGATCAGCCATTTACAGGTGGTGCAGTGGAGCGCAGCCCGCCAACAACATGAGTTGTTTGAAGCAACATTCTCGAAGAAGAACCATCTCCCAATTGACCTCTCGTTCGATTGTTGCCCGTCTCATTGCCATATGAAGCCTGATGTATCAATCCCAATGCCCTCTTAGCATTTGGCCATCATGCCATGCTACAAGATGCCAGAGCTGACGCCAGTCGAAGAACGATAGCTCCGAAGCGAGTGTCCGGTCCAGCAACTGGGCTGGCAACCAGGTTTCAGGGACAGGTGGACTATGGTTGACTGCTGCTATGCGACCCAGAGATGTGTAAACATGTCCCAACTCTATGGCAGCCAAGGCAAGCTAGCGGAGCTCGAGGGCAAGGCAGCACGAGTGCAGCAAGTAGTGAGTGCTGCCGCCTGCATGTAGCATGTACTTATGGTGCTCCTGCTTTGTTCTGTGCAATCAGCAGCGTTGCCAAGTTTACTTTCAAAGTCAGTGATGGTTTCAACTGAGCCATTGAATCCTGACTTGCTTTCGTTAGTTTCACAGAACCGTCTTTGTAAAGAACAGAAATATGTTGTTCGCTCAGTGCCGGCCCGTTGCCAGGTCAACCATTTGACGAAGCAACTGGAGAATTCCAATCGGCAGCTTCAGGCAATTTCGTGATTCTGATTGACCCATCCATGGTGAACGATTAGACATAGACACATGTAGACAAGCTTTATTTGCTCAGGTGGGGCTGTGTTGGCCGCGTTTGCTTCTTTTTTCGGGCGGATTACGGGTCTATGAAAGATGCATACATGTCAGTTCAACGCACTTGGCATGCTCGCGCTTATTTGGGGTCATGAGTCATGAAGCTGTGTCTGGCTTTGCATCCGGTGCGTTTGGGGTTGCGGATGTTTCTGTAGGTTGAGGGTTCACAGCTCTTGTGATGCCTCTCGCTTTATCTATTTTGGAAGTGATCCCTCAGAGACGGCTTCGAGAACTTTCGTGTCGAGAAATCTTCGTGCTCGTGCCGGAAGCATTTGGCTGGTGTCCGCTTGCGTTATACACAACTTTGTCAGAATATCACGCAGCATGCGCATGTCTTGAGGGAAATCAAAAGATGATTACAAAAAAATCCCTTGAACAATGAAGATGTTGTTGCCAATCCGGCGGCAGGAGTCCCTTCAAACTAGCATCCGTTCAGATGCCAGTGAGGTGGGCATGCAGGGCTGGTGCTGCCCTTGGGATTTGAAACGGGTTGGATGTGGCTTACCAGGGACGATGTATGTACAGAAACGTGCAGTTACAAGATGTTGCATGGGGTTGACAGGCTTGCCATGATCTGTACCTGAAGGGCCGGAGGGCATCTCGCGCTGCAATCCCTCGGGCAAGCCCCGAAGCCGACATTGTTTGGCTTCCTGAAATCCAGTATAATCCAAGTCATCTTTAGACTCGGCCGCTTTGACCCGATGCCCTTGCAGGACTTGCAAGCGGAACGGCGACGTGCCAGCGAGTGGCAGGATGGGGCGATGGCCGGTGTTCATGGTCCATGCTTGCAAGCCGCACCCACATTGATTTGCTCGTTGAGGAAGGAGGAGAATCCACCAACCCAACTAAGGAACGTATCTCTGGGGGGGCCCCCGAGTAAATTGATACAATTACGGGTTTCGGGAATGTATGGAGCAAAGGTAAGCGTAGTTTTTTGATACACTTTTGATATTGATTTCAGTTCGCATGGACCATGTATTAGATGAACCCCTCACCCAGTATTAGTGATTACGAGGGATAATGGTGATGACATCAGGGTCCTTTTGTATTCCTATTATTCCACAATTACAGGGTGAGGGGTCCACCTAAGTTCTGTAAATGTTGCTTCTGGCAAGTGCGTAAGGCCCTGTAATCTTAGGTAGTTCCTACATACAGCTTCCTATACTACCCCCACAAACTGCACCGGTTCCTATCAGGGGTCTTTTCTTGAGTCTCGAAGCATGGAGGAAGTGTATCTTAGGGGCCGCCTCCCGGATACATTTTCATTTGGGTCAGGGTTCTTAGGAGGAAGCCTTACGGGGCCCTCATGCAGAGCTACCCGGACATTGTGCGTCTGAAGCAGTAGGCGCAGCCGGCGATATAAGGGCTATACTTGGCAGGGGTACTCGATCCCCTGGAGGCGCGGAACAGCAACAGCCACCTGTAGTTTTT